TGTATATTTAAAAATAATTTTATATTAAATACTATAATAAATACTATATTATCTTATGACTTTAATTAGAAAATTAATGTTTATTATAAAAAAATTAGACAAAAGAATCATACATTTTATATTTTGATATAATGTTTTTATTTAGAAATAAAGATAATTTCTTGTCAAATATTATTTATTAATATTTGCTTTTTTAAATTATTTAATAACTAAAGTATCAATTTTCTTGTTTTCGTGCCCACATTGTAATCCAGATACTGATCTTATTAAATCCAGAAAAACGTTAAACTAAATTATAATCGAAACCATCGATCCGTACATGAATACCAATGGAGATCTATTTTGACGAGTGTTTTAGTTTGATTTTGTGCTTGCAAAAACAGGAATAGCCTATATCATTAAGAAAAAAAATATTACCAAAATTTTGTTGCGGGTCACAGTGGCATAACCCCGAATAATGATAACGCTCCAAATCTTCTGGGCAATGCTGGAATGGATTGTGCTTGTATGCGATGTCATTGAAAAAATGTATCTCTGATCTTTCCAAGAACATGGCAAGTGCTATTGAGTGTACTGGCGCGTCCCCCCATCTTGAAAGGATCATATAATAACGGGAAATTTAGATTAGAGACATTATCGAATTAAGTAGTTAAGATTCAACAAGAGAAAACTGAATGCAATAATTAAGTACCTTTCATAAAAGAATCCACCTTTTTTATCAAGATAATCAAAAAACTTTAGATATCGTTCGCTTCTCCAGAAATTTAAACTGCCTATTTCAAAGTTACTCCAAAAATGGCATCTAAAACATGGATTCCAAGAATAAAAAGAATTAGAAATTATTCTTTTTTTACGAAAACGGGTGATCAAAATCTTAAAGTCGCGCATTACAAATTATAATCCCCATCTTTATCCGTGATAAAATTAAGGAAATTATTGGGATTAATCAACTCCTTGTTCTCATGCATAAAACTTCTGACAGTCTGCCAGAGTGTCGGAATTGTATTGTTAAATTCAGGCAACGAGATAGTGAATCCATAGGACAGATTATTTTTTTGCATGAATAGAAATGGATCGTAGTCGATAGTGCACGCGAATTCCACAGATGGTTCTACACGCCAATACCAATCGTATTCATCTAATAGTGGATGTCGGAAGAAAAATCCCGAATTGAATCGACACATATGTCGATACGGTAAAGATCCACCATAGATTACTCTATCTTTTTCCATCTGATCACGATTTTCATCCGCTTTTGTTTGGTTTATCCACGGTGGATAACTCCACATTTCTGTAGGAATTAAACCTAATAATTAAAAAGCAAAATTAAAAATCATGAATAGATTCATCAAGTAAAAAATAAGATGCATTCGAGTTTACCATAAAAAGTTTTTGATTCAGTAATTCCAGTAGTCAACTCTTTAAACTCATCCGTGAATGCCACATCGTTCAAGAATACATAAGGATAATGAAATTTTTTGTTCCATCTATCCTCGAGTTGATGCATCGTAAACCGTAATTGATGCAATTCTGAATTCCTGACCAGTATCACAATAGCTGCTTTTGCACGTGTCGTTGTGGTTGATTGTGTTATGTTGGAAAAATTTGTATCATCTTGATTATTCACATTTAATGGTGGTCGCAGCGATGGATCTTTCATTGGATCAATATATTTTGACTCGAAAAACAACTCGCGTGAAGTTTTTGATTTCCTTCCAACATAGTAAAAAAGGGTGAGGAGTGTCATGCACGAGATAAATATTGCTGCTATTAAAAAACGAAGGTGTATGGACTTGAATCGTGATAGATGAAATATTGAATGTGACGACACTTTTTTTTTCATTGTATAGACCGGCTATTGAATGTTCTTTTTGTGATGGTAAGTAAACTAGAGGTATTATTGTAAAAAAAAAAAATGCAAGTAGAGGATACTTCAACTCTATGCGATGTTGAATTTACCGTTAAAGAAAACTCTACTACACAAGAGAAATGCCTCAACTCTACTTTTTTTTTTTGATTCCTTGTATGCTTCCTATATACTTTAATTGTTAATGAATGTATATCACAAAATTTCTCCTTTTCTAACGTTATTAACGTCCAAAGCGAAATTAAGTGTATCAGAATACGGTTAAATTTGGCTGAATTTCCTGGCCACTATTTATATGGTTGTACCAAACATTTATTTATATACAAACCGATCGAAATATTACAACATTATACACATATCTTTTTCCTTATTATGTATAATAATATATTAACAATAGACTAATATAGAAAAGTGATTTTTGTATTTTTTTGATCTTGATTTTAATTATTATGATGTGTGATGGGCTATTATCCATAAAAAAATATATAAATCTGTAATGATATTCCACTGTCGATCTGAATCCCACATAATTAAAGGAAATCTCATCATCGCGATCAATATTAAAATCAATGATGCGTCATTAGAAAAATCAATTTTTTTCCAATGCGTGTTAAAATAATGCTATTAGTCAAAATGTCCGTTTTCGCTCATAAACCAACGACGTACACCGGGAGTTGCACCAAGTATCGGGTGTAAAAGTACGTAGGTTAAAAAATACTCCAGCTCGCTGCGTCGTCTCTCAATAAATTCAGGCCCGAATTTACCTATTATTTTCAGATAGACGAAAAATGATTAGAAAATGATCTTAAATTATTTCAGAATCAAAATAATCAAATTTCATTATTTACCAACAACTTTCTTTGGAGGAAGTTTCGGGATTAATTTTTTATAAGAAGGTTGAGCTTTGATAAGTTGCGCGCGCAGCTGTACAAAATCCGAATAACGCTTTCTTGCAACAATATTTGCACCCTGAGAAAAAAAAGATATTAATTATTATGAACATTGAATTCTCATTAACAATTAATGCGCTTACCTCTTGTCCCCTTATAGTGCATGTATATACAATATAAGATCCATAACCAACTCCAACCCTCAATGGATTACCTACAGTAACTTCTTCCGCAAATAAATGAGTAGGTTTATCACGACCGAGCTTAATTTGGAATACAGAATCAGTGGGCGAGCATGAAGTTGGCGTTGAAGGTGTTGTAGACGGTGCAAGCGAGAAAGATGATAAAGTGACATTATCCTCCTGTTTAAAAAGCATAATGATCAACATATTTTTAAGTCCTAACTTGTTGTGAATGAATGAATAAATAAATAAATCAATAAAGCAAGTATACATACCGACAGTGAATGCGAATCATCTTCAACAACAGTGTCGAGAGTAGACGAAAAGGATAAAAGTGAACTTGTTCGCTTCATTAGACTCTGAGTTCGAGAAGCTAATACATGTATTTCGGATGTTCGAGGTATACGACGCATCTTTATACTGGATTTTTCATCATTCTCTTCCGTCGGACTCTCTACCGCATCAACATATTCATCGCTTGCATCTTCTGATGACTCTCGATTGAATATGTGCGTTAAACGTTCTTCAGCATAAAAATGTCCATTGTTTTTATTATTATCATTATGATTATTATTAATATCTTCATCATCACGATCTTTATGATTATCAACATCATAAGCATCTTGATTATTCAATCTTTTATCTCCCGTTGTCCATTGCGCTAGCAATCGTGAAGTATCTGCAACGACCGTTTCCTGAGAGATCACACTAGTCTTACTGGCTTTCAAGGGAGTTTTTTGAAACCCCAGATTTCCAATAAACAAACGAGTAACCGGAATTTCTTCGGAATCCATTGTGTGACGTCTTGTTAAATTTGAGCGCGCATGAATTTCTTGCGTAGTTGCTGAATCGGGGAGTGATCCACAAATTTGTTCTGTATTTTGATGATGATTATGAATTTTATTATTATGATTGTTATTGTGATTACTATTATGATTTAAGTTATTGTTGTTGTTATTGTCGTCGTTTCTGTTGCGATTTTTAATATTATTATTATTATTTATGATAGACTTATTATATTTGTTTTGAGAGGAAGCCATTCCTCCATGAAAAGCTCGATTATTACTATACACAATATCTCTGGAAGTTTTAATTTGCGGTGATGGTGAAGATAAATCTAAAAGTTGCGATTTTGGCTTTTCTTCAGCCGCGACTAGTAAAAATAATTATTAATTCAAATAACTATTAAACGAACAGAAAAAAGAATATATATATATATCAGGACATACGGTCCAGCCCTGTTTTGAGTACGAGATGCAAATGTTCCATTAGATCTTGAATATAATCGATCCAACTGCCTGATAATTTTTTGTCGAGTTCGAGTTTTTCTCTCACTTCCGTTAATTCCCCGACTATAGAGCGAATCTCTCTACGAATTTGTAGAACTGAAGAAAGATTATGATTTAATGATTTATAGATCCCTTTTCACATACACGATCTACGGTGATCTCTCCGTGGATGTTCGACCAACGTCGCTCGTCCGACGATGTTGGTTGTAGAATTGAAGCAACAACTAACCTTGCAACGAACGAGACGCTAATAAAATATCATAGTTCAAAGAGAACGCATCATCCACATCTTCATTTTCGTCTTGCTCGCCCTC